GTACAGCTTACCCACAAATATGTGAATTGCATGGTTTTGGGGGAAAGTATATTTAGTACTTAGTTAAAAGAAAAAAACTATTCAAGGCAATATCTCTAATATTCTTTTCACTTTTGCTAAGCTACTCAGAGATCAAGTCAGGATTTCACTTTGTAGAATCCATCAGTGAGAATGAACATAATTTGTTTTTACTGTAAAAGCCAATGTGGTTTTGTATGACTTTTAGAGGACAGCTTAGAACAAGTCCATGTGAAGGTATTTGGTTGGCATCTTTACCTAATGGTCAATGTGACAGTTGATTTTTGTTAGATAGTGGCCATTCACATTTCTCACACAAGTTTAAAAAAGAGGTTTCTTTAGAGGTTCTGGCTCAACAGGCTGGTCCAAACAACATGATTGGACAGTATTAATCATAGAGTCACAGAATATCCTGAGTTGGAAGGGACCTGCAAGGATCATCAAACCTAACTCCCAGCTTCATGAAGCACCATCCAAAATACAAATCTTATGTCTGAGAGCGTTGTCCAGAAGCTCCAACTCCCCTGAACTCCAGCGATTTTGGGCCATGTTTGGTTATAAAAAATTGTAGAAAACTCTGTGCATTCCTACCTGGACAAATCATAAATGCTGCAGCAGTACAGACAAATGTTTCCAGAGGTACTCTAAAATAAAAAGCAAGGGAAAAAATACTAATCAGAAACTACATCTTTAAATACATTTTACACTTAGGTGTAATGAAGGAAACCCACGAGAAACCTTTTATATTTATTTGTTTTAACTGAGGTGCCTCTCCTGATCCTTTCCATAGAGGTTCTGGCCTGTTGAGGCACGCAATTGTTCAATTTTAAAATATGCTACTTTGTCAACTTTATGTTCAGGCCTTTCAGAGTCATTCAAAAAGCCTAAAGTAACACCCTGAAAAGAAGAACTGCTCAGTCCAGTGCTCCCTTCCAAACCTCAAAAGGAGAAGTGAATGACTACTGGTAAGGCAGAGGCACAAAGCAGAAGGACTTGTTTGCTCCGTTGTACCTGCAGTACATGGCTGAACACAGCAGACTGTCTGGCACTGCAGGAGACATACCTGCAACTTTTTGGCTCCTGAGATCCCTGGGACTGGCTCTTCACGATAAGGGAGACCCTGATCTGCAAAGAACTCCTTCAGCGCTTGCTCGCTGACATCCACGCCGACGATGCTGTGTCCCATGTCTGCCAGCCTGTGCACAGCAGAAGTCCCGAGGTTGTGTGAGCAGCTCAGTGCACCAACATCTCCTCTACACCATGTGTTCATAGAGAAATGCTGCCCAGGCCCCGGCTTCAGGATGGATTGGTGCAACTCACCTTGACTTTCTGGAGCTCTCATATTTTATTGAACACTACCCCCATGCAATCTGAGTTTAAATTAGCACCACTCAACATATGGCTGCTGAGGGCTTGAAGGCTTTTTTGGATCCAATTGGTTATTCCTTTATTCCTATGAACCTGGTGAAAGCGAGGATGGTGAAACAGAGAACCTATTGCTGTTTGCACAAAGATGTTTTGTTGCAGGAGCCGAGGCAGCCAGGTTGTCCTGTGGCCCAGCAGTTTGGCTGATGGGGCAGAGCCTGCATGCTGCCCAGCAAGCAGTCATTGTCACAGACTGTGGTAACATGGGCTGTTGGGATTCCATGGGGAAGTGGTTCAGCTGGGGGGGTTGGTTTGTGTTCCTTCCCACCTGCAACCACATGGACTTCTGCAGCCCATATTATTTGTTATAACCCCTCCCTCCCCCCCAAAAAAGAAAGTGAATGTAAAATTTTAAAAGCGTTAAAATATATATATATATATTTAGCCCAAATCACTTAAATTCCCAGCAAATGAACCGCACTGTTTCCTCGCCTCAGCCTGCCTTCAGCAGCGTGTTTCCACCAGCCACTACAGGCCTGGGAATTTCCCTTCTCCCTCCCCACACCAGTAAGGGCTTTCCAGTCACGATCCCTGCCATTCCGTACCACTTCATGTCGACTGCTTTACCACACAGAGGGAAAAATATCCTCAGCCCACTCCTGCCATCCACCAGAAGGTCCAGGTGCTTCTGTAGGAGCCTGCAGGGGAACAGAGGCATTAGGAGGGGTTGTGGGTGCTGGCACAGAGCGCTGTGCAGCATGCCAGGCAGTGCCCAAACTCTTGCATATTCATAGTCAAAAATACAATTCAAAATACAAATAAATAAATTCACCTTCCATTTTCTTAGAAAATAACCTCAGTTTCTGCTAGCAAGGGACACTTTTCTGCTTGTCTCTTCAGGTAACAAAGCCCATGTAATGATCCCATCTCTCGTTGGGACACTCAGAGTGTGGTTAAACTGCTGTACCACTCCTCTAGAAACGCCTTTCAGGCAATTCCCGCTGGATGATGGCTGGGTTTGCACCCTGGCCCCGTCCCCCAGCACAGTCGCTGCCCCAGGCCCCGCAGTCAGGTCCAGTCCCACCCCTCACACCCAGCAGCAGCGTGGAGTTGTCGCTTCAGCAGGCGCGGGGCTTCGGTCAAATCGTCTAAAGCTCATCGTTTAGAACACGATTTAAGGAGTAAAGGCTCTAAACGCAGCGCGAATTGGGCGTTCTCTGCCTTTTTCAAACAAATGTAGGTGACAACAACGATTTCAGTTTCAGGCCGTGTTTGTACCGATCTTTTTTCCTGCCTAAGCTCCGCACTTATTACCGAGAGCCGCTCACCCCGCCCCCAGCCCTCCGCCCGGGCCGAAGAGCGAAGCGACCTACGGATGCCCGTGCTCCTTATGGAAGGCGGTGGCACCCGCGCTCCACTTCCGCAGCCATTCCTCTACGGACAGCACCCGCTCCCGCTGCGCCTCGCAGCCCCCCGGCTCCTCCATCTGCCCTCCGACGAGCCCCTCGCCGTTCCCAGCGGCGGCACCTGCACGGTGGCGGGGCCGGCCCGGGGCGGCGCCTCCCTCTCTACGCACCGCGGAGAGCGGAAGCGGCGGCGGCGGGAGGCGGGCTGAGGGCGCTCGGCGCCGGTAGGAGGAGGAGGAGGAGGAGGAGGAGGAGGAGGAGGAGGATGGCGCTGGGGATGGCCGCGGCGGTGAGTGAGCCCCGCTGCCCGTCGGCCCCCGGCCCGGCGGCGGGGCAGGTGCAGGCGCAGCCCTCCCCCGAGCTCACCGCCGCGCCCCCCCCTCCATCCTTCCCCCCTTCTCTCCCCGCTGCAGCTCTAGCAGGAGGCGGCTCGGGCACGCGTGGATGCGCTCTCCGGCCCCCGGGCGAGCCGGACCCGAGGTGAGCGCCCCGGGGACGCTGTCAGGGCCGGGGGACTCCGGGGCGGCTGCTGTCAGCGCGCTGGGGCTGCGCCCGGCCGCGGCTCACCGGCTGCTCTCGCTTCCTGGGTGTGGGCTGTGTCTGTGTGTGTGTGTGGTTTCTATTTTCTTCTCTTTCCTTCTTTTTAGTTTTTTCTCCCCCCCCCAATGCAAACTTGCTGTTAAGTCTCCCCGCACAGGCCGGGCGTTAGGGGGACGAAGCGGTACGGAACGTGGCACAGCGTAGGGATGTGTGTCTCTTTCCCCTTTAAAGGGTCTCTTTCCTCCAGCACTGCGATGGTAGGGTGCGCAGAGTCACATAAGTAGGCAGTGTCCGCTGCTCTTGAGAAAGCTGCGGGAGTGGGAGGTGTGGGGCTTTTGAGAGGGGAAGCAAAGGCAAAGCGGTGTACAGCTGGAAACAATGGCCTTAAAGCAGTTATATCTGCAAACCCACCTCTTCTCCACCTTCTGCCTCATCCCCTGCCAGCAGCATCCACGACAAAAACACATCCGTGCTTCCCTATATCTGCTCTCTGCCTGTCAAGGCGGGAGGCCCTGTGAACCAGCGACGTTTTCACCAAACTTCTCAGTGGACAGTGGCTGCTTTTTGATTTTTCCCCCAGCCCCACATACATGGGGTTGCATACTCCACTGACTTTGGGATGGGCTCTGACCGCCTGCAGCCCCTGCCTGGCTGCGAGGGATGATCAGCTGGTGTGGGAGGCTGAGGTGATAGAGAGGTGATGCAAAAGGATAACGTTGATAGGACAAGGGGGAATGGTTTCAAACTAAAAGAGGGGAGATTTAGACTAGGTGTCAGGGGGAGATTTTTCACTGTGAGCGTGGTGAAGCACTGGCACAGCTGCCCAGAGAAGCTGTGGGTGCACCAACCCTGGAGGTGTTCAAGGCCGGGTTGGATGGGGCCGTGGGCAGCCTGAGCTGGTGGGGGTGGCAACCCTACCCTTGTCAGGGATTTGGAATCGTCTGGGTTTTGAGGGCCTTTCCAACCCAAACCACTCTGTGTTTCAGTGACTGTTGTGCTACTGGACAGCCCTGTCAGCAAAACCTGACTTTCATTTCCTGGGGCTTGAAGTGGTACTTTTGGGAAATGTCATTTAAGTGGCACTAGTTTGCTTTCCTTTCTCTTCTCCAACCACCACCACCTCCATACGGTGGAGTATATGATGGTGGACTGCTGTTGCTTTTTTGGCATAATAATAGATATATCTTTTCTCCCTCTAGTTACATATAATGTTTGCATACAAAAAAGAAAGTTAATGTTTGAGTTGGCTTCCCGAGCTCAGTTACTTTCTCACATCTGCGGCTATCCTGTGATTTTCTTTTTTCCCCCTTATGCACTCAAATCAGTTCCTCCTACCTGGAGAGCAGAAACTTTGTAACAACTCCCATTCTCTCTTGCTGCTACCCTTACTTAGGAGAGCTAGTGAACTAAGCCACTGCTAGCACTCCATGCTGTCAGTTGGAATAAGGAGGATGCAGCCTGGAACAACCGAAAGAAATCCTAGATATAGTACAAATACATACGTAAAAATAGTAATAAAAAATTGCAATCTGATCCTTATTACACCAAGATAGCATTCATGATTCAGTGCCGTAGTCTGTTTCCTTTACGTGTGGTAGATTAGATTTAATTCTTCCTGCAAGCTATTTATTTGTATTTTAATCCTTGCAAAAAGAATACCTTTGATTGTAATGTTTTACATATGCTTTCCCATTTCTGCAGTGTACTTTCTCATACTCCGTGCTTTCCAGATTACATGATGAACTGTGGCCTTCTTCCTGTTCCCAGGGATGTAGTGAAATATAAGCATGGATTTGCCTTCTGGTGTAGAACTTCTCTCCTGAAGCAGTTTAGTAACTGCATTTGTGATCTCCCAGTTAACTAGCATCACAATGCAGCTGCTGCTGTTTAGACCCTAAATTCTGATGCACGTTCACAGGAGGGTGTGTGAGTCATAGAATTACCAAGGTTGGAAAAGACCTCCAAAATCATTCAGTCCAACCACCCAGCTACCACCAATACTTCCCCACTAAACCGCGTCTCTCAGTGCAGTGTCTAAATGGTTCTTGAACACCTCCAGGGGCAGTGACTCAGCCACCTCCCTGGGCAGCCCATTCCAGTGCCTGACCCCTCTTTCTCCCATCCAACCCCTGTCCCCTGGTGCAACTTGAGGCCCTTACCTCTCATCCTCTCACCAGCTGTGTAGAAGAGGCTGACCCTCGCTTATCTACAACCTCCTTTCAGAGGTAGAGCTATAAGGTCTCTCCAGAGTCTCCTCCAATCTAAACAATCCCAGTTTTGGAACTGGTGTTTCATTTGGTGGTGAACATCTGAATAAAAGTGCTGTACCACGCAGTTCTGTTGCTACCAATAAATCAGTTGTCAAGGAGAAGAGCACTGTGAAGGCTTGGATTTCAGAGCTCGCATTGTGAATTGAAGTCTACTCGCATTGCTGACCCTAATTCTAGTCCAGATCATCACGTAATGCAAATCAGATTACTGAAATCCAGGGTATGCTGATCTGGAACAGTCCGTCAAGATGTACTCAAGGATCTAATCTTAACTCTGAATTTAGTTTAGAATAAGATCGTTGTTCATTTCCCCATAATGCCACCTTCATTTCCATCCTGAGTTACTGGGTAGGCTGAACAGATTCTTGTCCATGTTTCTCTGACAGGAGAAGCAGTGTAAGTGAGGCTGTGCCGTCCAGGTGATTGGATAGCTCTGCAAATTCAACCAATTCTTATTTTTTTTTTCTTAACTGCTCCCTACCTTTTTCTTTACAGGTCTAATAATACAATGTCAGCTGGAAGGGTACGAACAAAGAAAAAGGCATGTTCTTCAGAGCAGTCTCCAGACAGCCTTCCTCTGAGGAGTTCTGGAAGACAGGTATTTATGACAATTTGACACTCTTGTATTTTTATTTTCTGTTAACACTTATAAAGAAGATGTTTCACTGTGGATACTTCAGGGATGGAACGTTTTTGCAGGAAGAGGGAGAATCAGTTCTGTGAAGAAGTAGGCAAAGCTGCTTTTTTATCAACAGTATTCGGAAGAGACAAATGCTCCGTATAACTTGAAAATTCTTGATGTGTTAAAAATACAACCAGAGCTTTCTGTGCAGCTGAACCAGGCTGTCCAAGACCCAAATTAATGTGATACACAGCATCTCTGAAGCCCATAAGAGGTATTTGGTATACAGTTTTGTATCTGGAGTCCAAAAAAAATATTCCTCCAAACCAGCCCTAATATTTTGTTTGAGGTGCAGATAAGATCACGGCTAATTAACGTCAGTAAGTACGTGAAGGAGAGATTTTTTTGAAGGTGGAATAAAAAGAATGCCTGAGGCTTGACTCATTAGCATGTGATGGAGCTCAAAATGCTATTTAAACCAGAGGCTTTTCTTATAATTTCTTCAATGGTATCAGTTAAGCTAAGGCAAGACATTTTTAGCTTTAAATGATATCTTCATCTTTACTGTTCTGTTTTTTTTTCTGGGGGAGAGATAGAAAAAATGACCTAATTTGACAGCTGCTTCATGCTGCAGCTATCTCACAGTGGCTTCAGAAAGTTTGGTTTGTGTTCTTTATTCAATGCCATGCCACAGGATGCAGAACTGCCTGTATGCCTCTGTTAGAAAACACATCTGTGTCATTTCTGGTCAGATTTCAGCTATTCTTTATTAGGTGAAGAAGAAAGCAGCCGAGGCAACAGATGATGATGATGATGCATCAGAAAAGAAATACAGGAAATGTGAGAAAGCTGGATGCACTGCAACGTGTCCTGTTTGCTTTGCCAGCGCAGCCGAAAGGTTTGTTTATTTTTATTTGCATTTTTTCATGGGCTCTTCTAAGCTTGCTGTTTGGAATTCTAACCACATTTTGAAAAACCCCTGCATTTCCAAGTGTAGAGGGAGAACTGAAGGACACTGATACCAGTCTTAAGATGCCAGGAAAGTGTCACAGGTTGTTCAGTTTGTGGTTAAGGTTCTACCGCACAAGTTGCTAATTCTGATAGAGTGTATCTTCAGCTTAGTATAAGCCTATTGATGTTATTAATGGTGTCCTCTGGAACACGCCTTGTTTCTGTGAAACCAAGAGCATCTGAGTGTAACCTGAGGAAGCTAAACTTGCTTTCAAGATGGAAAATGAAACCGCCGTTTACTGCCGAAATTCTTGATCACTTTGTTGTTGGAATGTTATGCAGTCCGAGGTGAGGCTCTGAGCTTGACATTTTAGGACTTGGGAGACAATCGGACTTCTTTGAACTCCTTGTTCTCAAGTTGTTTGTGGCTTTCAGTGTGCTAATGCCAGCCCTTTTGCATTCTGACCCTGGAGATGCATCTCGTCAGTACTGTGTGTTCAGTATCTATAAAAAGAAACATATCAGACCTCATTATGCAGTAGGCAGACTGTAATTATATGGCATTGTTCCCTCTCTCGTTAATTGGGCAAACTTTCCTCATTTTATTTATTCTCCAGTGATATAAAATACTCCAGTGCCTCATTTACTTACCTATGAGAATTCTTCTTTGTTAGCTGCAGTTAAATGTTGTCACAGAAAAGCCAAGTTTTTCAGCAGTTGTGTAAGAGACTTTTAGGGGAAAGGAGTACCTGAGAAATCAGTTGTAGTGATGTTATATATATATTTTTTGAAACAACGGATGTTGCATAATCTTTTTTTTTTTAATATTATTTTAATGTTGTGATAGATTCTATATTTTACATACAGATATATATATATATTTCCACCAGAATACATACTTTCAACATTATTTATTTGAGATGAGATGATTTCACCACTGTCTATTTCAATTAGTACCTTAGGTCACTGCTTTTTACCTTATACATTCATCTTGACTCATTTCACTGAGTTTAATGAGAGTTTTCTAAGCGAAGAGTGATTGCTTTGCATAATGAATATAACCTTTGCTAATAGGCACTTATTTCCATGAGTAATAAAGAATAGAAGTCCAGAATGTGTAGGGGTTTCCTTAAGGTTTTCCTTCTTTGGGATAAAACTGCAGCTAACTTGGTCAAAAAAAAGGCAACATTGGTTTGGTGTTCAGATTTGTGTATATGGTTGTGTCAGCTGTTCTGGGGACTAGATCTTGTGATGAGCTGTGAATCCATTCATCACTCGTACAAGAAAAATACTCATCAAGATGACCCCCTCCCACTGCTGCACCAGTACCAGAACAGAATGAAAAAAAGGTCAAGAAATGCTAAGTTCCTACAGAGAGTTCCTTACACATTTGGAAAATGCTTTGTCTGTCACAATAGGCATTATAAAAACAACTCTATTTTTTGTTCAGGAAGTGTCTACTAAAAGGGTGCTAAAGCAGGGCGCAGTGGACCATTGTTGGAGAGAGGCTGCTGGAAGCCAAGCCAGCTATTGAACTGCTTATTGTGCACACTTTGCCTCCTTTGCATCTGGTGTTGCTTCGTTTGGGAACTGGAAGTGTCTGAGACAATTGAAACGATCTTCTCCTTATTGTGATTTGAATAACTGCAGTGCCTTGTGTAAGACAGCCTTCATGAACATAACATAATGTGCTGGCTTGTCCCGAATATTTGGTTCACATTCCAGAATGTGCTATTGTTAATAGGGTTTTTGAGATGTACCATAAAGTATTTCTGCATTTCTGCATTTCAGATGTGCAAAAAATGGGTATACGTCCAGATGGTATCATCTTTCCTGTGGGGAGCACTTCTGCAATGAATGTTTTGACCACTACTACCGAAGGTAGATTTGCCAATTAACATCGTGCCTTTTCAGTACTTACTAAAATTTGACAGACGATACGAGTGAAGAGACCTCATATACTTGTGAATAATACGAGGGTTCATCCTCTGTGCTTGCTTTATTTGAAGTGATGCTTAGATATTGGTGTTAAAACTGCAGGTGTTGTATGGACTAATCATCAGCATAAATGTGTAGCGTGAGCAAAACCAGTTACTTTATACCTAGGCTGTTCTACAGGTACAGTTATTCTAAAGCTTTCCTCTCTTTTAAAACAAAAGCAGAGAATTTTAAAAGATGGGAGTGCATTTAAGTAGTTCCAAGTACATCCGTTTTCCCTTAGGTAGCAGATTCACTTCAAATGTGAGCTCAGGAGAGAGAACTTGGGTCAGAATAAGACCAAAGCCAGCAAGTAGATTTTGCTTTCATTTCAATGACTGGTGAAGACTCAGGTCAGGGTCACAGAGTACTTTGGGCTCCAGGCTCCTTTCTGTTTTTGTGAGAATTCAGTCCATCTCTGCTAAGATTTCTGAGTGCTTATGAACTCAGCAGCACCTGTAACTCAGTCCCCATTTTAACTTCTTGGAAGTATGCCCAATACCAAGAGGATATAGTGGCCAGGATGCTCGTTATTGCTATCATAAGAACCACAACTTGCTTTGTTTTTAATAGGAAAAATACAGGACTCTCTTCAGCCTTATTTCTCTGTCCTTACATAAAAGGTTTAATTTTAGAATAACCACTGTTGCTTAAAACAAACTAGATCATTCCATTTCCTAACCACTTGCCCTTTTTTTCTCTTTCTTTCTAGTCATAAAGATGGTTATGAGAAATACACAGCCTGGAAAAGGATTTGGACAAGTAATGGGAAAAGTGAGCCCAGCCCAAAAGCCTTCATGGCTGATCAGCAGCTCCCTTATTGGGTAAGATGGACAGCGATTTGTGGAATATGGTGTATTTCAATGTGATGTTTATTTGTGAAGGCATACAGTTTTGAACAGATGTTTAAATTAACTCCCCTGACCTGTCTTTTCCATCTTCTCCTTTCTTGAACTGAAAAACTTTCTGATATTGTATGATCAGGCAGCAGGCCAGCTGAGTTTTTACAGGGGCTAGAGAAAAGCTCAAGATCAATTCTGATCAGCTTCTCCATTGTTGGACACCTTCTCCAAGTCTCACAGAGAACAACTTTCTGTTGCTTTTTGTTGAAGTAGCAGCTAAGATGTATAATATTCAGATAGAGTAAGACTTAGTGGGGAAAATGGGACGTACCAGCTATAGCAAACTGTGAGTGTAAAAGACTTGCAAAACATTGATTTCTGTATTTCCACGCTGAAGGGAGTAGAAGAGAAAGAGAGATGGAAATGGAATAAAGTTTGAAAAAAACATATCACAGAATTTCAACCCCCCTGCTGTGTGCAGGGTCACCAACCAGCAGCCCAGGCTGCCCAGAGCCACATCCAGCCTGGCCTTGAATGCCTCCAGGGATGGGGCATCCACAGCCTCCTTGGGCAACCTGTTCCAGTGCCTCACCACCCTCTGGGTGAAAAACCTCCTCCTAATATCTAACCTAAACCTCTCCTGTCTCAGTTTAAGACCATTCCCCCTAACCCTATCACTACCCATCCTTGTAAACAGTTGTTCTCCCTCCTCTTTATACACTCCTTTCAAATACTGGAAGGCCACAATGAAGTCTATTGAAGTAGTGCGTGATATACTTTTCACAGCAATGCTTGCAAAAGCCACTGCAGTAGTAATGGCTGTTGAATCAATTTTGGATTAGGTTCTGTGGTGAAATTCAGTCTTTTAGGAAATCAGTGCAAGACTTAGTATACAAAGTGTCTTACACCCGAACATTATATGAGAATGAATTTAACAACTGCACTTAAGAATTTTCTCACATCTGCCTTCTTTCAGTCGGTTATCGAGGCTTCATTAACCTTATCTATGATCAGTCAGTAACAAGTAAAAACATGTTTGTTTTTTGACTTGTAGGTGCAGTGTACAAAGCCAGAGTGTGGTAAATGGCGTCAGCTGACAAAGGAAATCCAGCTGACACCGCAAATAGCAAAAACCTACAGATGTGGTATGAAACTAAACAATTCCACCAAGGTAACACAGAAGACTTTTGCTCATATGGAAACTATTAACAAGTAGATTTTTCTTGTTTGCGGACATTATTTACTTCTTACCTTGCTGCTTAATGTTTCTAATTTAAAAACAGTTGCCTGATGGCCTGTGGAGTTGCACAGTGAAAGGCCCACAAGCTGTATGGCCTTTTCTGTATCCTGAGTGAAAATATCAAGAAAGAAGAATTTGAAATACTTTCTGTCTGTAGTCAGTTATAAAATCACTCATTCTGAAGCTATGAAAAGATTATCAGAATATACGAAATAGACATGCATCACAATATTTGTTTTAGTTTGTCAAGCCATGCTCATTATGGAGGAAAATGTTTGAAAAGTTCAGTGAGCTTTTGGTAACTTCTAGCAAGTTTTATCACGGGAAATTTTCAGCTTTGGCACAAAGATAACTCTTGAAAAAGAGTCCTTTTAATGCCGCAGAGTCTTTTTTGTGAAAAACATGACAGTTCATCTTGGAACCTTGTGATGTTGAAATAAATCTAAGAATTTTGGTTTTATAGTCTGGACTGGAAGAGTCTCTCTGAAAAATGTAGAATCTTCCCAGATTTTTTTTTTGCCCTTCCAATTTGTTTTAGTGTTCCACTCCATTTTGTGGAATAAGACACATATTCTAATGTCTGATCGGTGGAGACTGCTTAATTCAACAAATGAGAAACATTTTCTGGTATATTTTGTATTTTTTCGGTGTGTTGTGTTTTCAACTATATGTTTCTCTGTTATTTACTTTTACTAATACAAATGTCGTGCCACAGAAAGCTAACATGAATGCATTATTTGGTTTAAGGAAACATGCCATAGCCAAATTGCTTAGTTTTATATTTAATTTTTGTTGTAGAGTGTAAGAATAGCTCTGATTCAATTGGCTTTTCTTTCAGACGGAGGGCTCAGACCAATGTTCCATGCCTGAGGACTTGGTGAGTAGCAGCTGTTCCTCCTCATTTGTTCAGAATACGAAAACAACCCCAAAGCATGGCATACATCTTTCCTTTTCTTGGACTTTTGGCTAATTGTAGCAGTATTGATGCATTTTGCAAAGGACACTATTTGCAACAGAGCCTAGGACCTTCTACTTTCTCATCTTTTTTCCTCTCTTCCCTCACTATGCCAGTTAGATTTCAGGTGGTTCTTGCTGTCTTTGAGCTGTGGCCAGTGATCCAAGGCTCACTCCTAATTCTCATTTTTTATTAGGCAAACCAGCATTCAGCTGCCAGTTTTCAAATAAAAATCCCCATCTCCAAATTCCCCTCTCTTCAAGGTGGTTTCCATCTTTAGTTAAGCCTTGTCTCCTCTTCCTGAAAAGTGCATAGGAAAGCCAAAACATGTTTTCTCTCTCCTCTACCTCCTAATGATACGTGATGCATGTTGGTGTTGCAATAGTTTTATGATCACGTAACCTCACATTTCAGATTGAGTATGATATGATAAGCCAGTGTTGGCAAGCGTACCTGAGGTACCTCTGTCCCAGGAAACGTGCATAATAAT